TGAGACTACCAGAGAGCAGAGTGAGACTACCAGAGAACTGAGTGAGACTACCAGAGAGCAGAGTGAGACTACCAGAGCACTGAGTGAGACTACCAGAGAGCAGATTGAGACTACCAGAGAGCAGAGTGAGACTACCAGAGAGCAGAGTGAGACTACCAGAAAACTGAGTGAGACTACCAAAGAGCAGAGTGAGACTACCAGAGCGCTGAGTGAGACTACCAGAGAGCAGAGTGAGACTACCAGAGAGCAGAGTGAGACTACCAGAGAGCAGAATGAGACTACCAGAGCGCTGAGTGAGACTACCAGAAAACTGAGTGAGACTACCAGAGAGCAGAGTGAGACTACCAGAGCGCTGAGTGAGACTACCAGAGATCAGAGTGAGACTACCAGAGCGCTGAGTGAGACTACCAGAGTGAGACTACCAGAGCGCTGAGTGAGACTACCAGAGAGCAGAGTGAGACTACCAGAGAGCAGAGTGAGACTACCAGAAAACTGAGTGAGACTACCAGAGAGCAGAGTGAGACTATGAGAGCGCTGAGTGAGACTACCAGAGTGCTGAGTGAGAGGCCATCAGTAAGAGGTTCAATGCTGTTAGTAAGCAGTCCAGTACTGTGAGTGAGAGGCTTAGTGCACTGAGTTAGAGGTCCAGTACTGTGAGTGAGAGGCTTAGTGCGCTGAGTTAGAAGTCCAGTACTGTGAGTGAGAGGCTTAGTGCGCTGAGTTAGAGGTCCAGTACTGTGAGTGAGAGGCTTAGTGTGCTGAGTTAGAGGTCCAGTACTGTGAGTGAGAGGCTTAGTGTGCTGAATTAGAGGTCCAGTACTCTGAGTGAGAGGCAAGAGGTCCAGTGCCCCTTTATAATGTTTCTGACCACATACCTGCATCAGTAAGTGCACAGAATTTTTAGATGTCAGTGATAACAGTGATAACAAAATGCACTGTGTGTATATTAGTGATTACAGTCACTTCTTTTTTTAAATATATTTTAGAGATCCTTGTGTTAAACAAGCAACCAGAACAAATATCTTCAGACAAAAGGGACACAGACATTACCAACAAAGGCACAGATTTTATGAACTCACAACAAATTAAAGGTAACACAACGTTTCTCATCTTTGACTTTCATTCTCATTCAGCATAGATGGCATAAAGCCTGTAGCCGGTCTCGATATATATTTACATGGAGAATAGTGGAGTTTAGACAGTTTGCTGAACTTAGCACTAGAGATTCATTATCAGCCAGAGGTCCAGTTTAGCCCATGTTGAAGCCCTGTGTGAAGCCTATCTTCTTACTGGACTTATCACCAGCTGGTTCTCGGTCTGTTTATCTACAATGGTAAGTGAATCTCTTGGAATATCATGAGAACCTTTTTCCTCTGGCTATCAGAAACCTCCTGCAGTCAATGTTTGGACCAATGTCAGCCTTACTTGGCATAGGTGACATATCACCAACATTTACAGATTAAAGTAAATGATAACTGCGAGCATCGTACGTCCTGTTTATAGGCTTCATAATGAGGGAGCAAAGGAACCAGCTGTTTCTATGTCAGTCAGAGGAATCTAAGGATTTGTGGGGACCAGGAAAAAAATCTCTAATGAAACCTATGGAAACAAATTGTACATCTTACTGGCTGTATCCATGTCTGATCAAAACCCTGTGGTAAACGAAAGCATGCTAATTAATATGATTAATATACTGATTTACGTTTTGTGAGGCTTGCAGTCAGTTTGAAAAAATATATAGTTTCAACAATATAGTTTCATTAACTTAGAATTCACTGCAACACGTAAAGGTAAAATTAAATAAAAACAATAAACAAATTGTAAATGTTCAGCTGGCCAATTTAACATATATTTGCTTATAAACAATCTTTAAGATTTAATAAGCTGGCCTCTGACCCAGAGACAGAACTAATGTAGAGAAGGCCCTGGTGCAAGAACGTTTAACGGGCCCCCTCTAGTGGAAGAGTGTCCAATAGTAGATCCCCATCTGTCATAGAACTCCAAAGATGCTATGCAAGCTGGGGATCTACCATTTGCCCATAGTTGCTGGGTTATATTTGTCAGCAGGGTTTGTGCGTTTGAATGTAAGCATGTTTTTGTACAGAGAATATGTGTGAATGTAGTGGTGTATTTGTGTTTATTGTTGCTGTTGGAATGCAGTGGTGTACTTGTGTGTAGTGTTTGTGCTTGAATGCAAGGTGTGTGTGTTGTGTAGTATTGGCTTTTAATTGTGGATGTACATTTGTATGTATTATTAGTGTTTGACTGAAGGGGTGTGTGTGTATATAATTTGGGACTTTGAATGCAAGTGTGTGTTTGTATGTAATATTTGTGTTAAATTTCAGGAGTGTGTTTGCATGCTATATTGGTGTTTACTTGGATGTATGCACAAGCACACATACACTGCCACCTACATACACACTTGCACAGATACTAACACATTAACACACAAATACACACATGTAAACATACTGACACATACACACATTCATATACACACATTGATGCACACTGACACACTCACACATGCACACACCTTGGCACATACTGAAACACACCCTGACACAGATACAAACACACACACACTGACATACAGATACACACACTGACATATTCGCACCTTGACACACAGATACACACCCTGGCACACAGATACAAACACTGACATATACACACCCTGATACACAGATACACACCCTGACACGCATCTACACACACACAGACAGATACAAACACACACATTGACACACAGATGCACACACTGGCATATACACACCTTAATACAGACACACACATTGCCACATGCACAGGTAATCTGACATACATGGATAATTACACAAACATACATGTCATCATTTTTTATTTGCAGTCACCCTACTGTTTATTTACCTTTTCTGTGCAGCATGGTGGATTGCCTGAGGTCCTGTTGCTGCTGGCAGAGGATGATGAGAGTGTTAAGTCTTCAGCAGCTCACGTCTGCTTCTTTTTCCCATGCTTCATGTGGTGCCGCTGCTGTCTCATGCCACCGCCTCCTCAATTTCATGAAGCTCTCTGTTCGAAGCTTGGTGGAAATGACAGGCAGTCACTTCCTCCAAACTGACCAATACTACAGGCCCAGTCAATCTCAGGCCCCTGTTCAGCAATAGTACCCATGGGGTGACCCAAGTGAAAGGGACACCCAATGAGCCCCCCATGCAGGCCCCCACTGCTCCGACCTCTGATCTTACTGATTACCAGGAAGTTACAAGGCTCCAGAAACACCTGGAGCTTGAACCCAAAGGAAAAATAGATGACCCCCACACTAACAGAAGGGTGGGGATATGTCATGACGGTTCCCTTCTTTTATAAGTTATGTTCCCTCATACCTACCCATTAACAGCGCAATGTTGATTAAAGCATAGTCAGGTATCATCTTTCTTTTATATTAGGTGGCTGGAAAACCAGAAGTCTGATATAAAAGTTAGTGATTAACAGCAACCGTGTTTATATTGAGAATTGTAGATTATGCTAGCTTTAGTGTACCTATAATGTTAATTTTATTAATGACAGGAGGCCAATATTTTCCTTTAGTCTCTCTTTACTTAAGCTCCACAGCAGCACATTTTAACATAGTAACAGGATAAACCAATCAGAAAAAAGGCTACAAAATTCCCTCCCACTAGAAAAAAAAAACACTAATATTTATCTGACACCAAAAATAAAACAAAAAACAACCAAAACAACAACACCTTCTCCCCTCATAATATTTGTCCTCCAACATTTTTAATATTGTGTGCAATGGAACTATTCATTATTTCCATTTCTATTTACCTTATGTGCTGTGTGTTGTATTTCTACATTGAACTTTCAGCACATTTCAGACAATTTATAAAATTAATCACAATCACTTACATTTCCATGTATTTTCCATCTCAAAGTGACAGAGATTTGTTTGTTAGTTGAATATTCGAAAGAGTTATTGGCTGAAGGCAAAGAACTAAAGGAGTCTGTGGACCCATCCGTGAATGAAGGGGATGAGCCCCCAAGTAAAGGTAATTGTTTACTCTTACTGACCAAATCAAATGTCTAATATGTGTTGATTATAATTAATCCTGGAGGAATTTAGCGTCATGACCCTTCATAGCTGTTTTCCATTGTCATGAGAGAACTTTCACCACCAGCTATTTTCTACATCCTTCTAAGTTATATTTTCTGTGGAAACGGTATTACTGACTATGGGAGGTTTCAGTCTAAGTGAAAGGTCTAATTACAAGTGGATGAAGTCATCAGTGATGGATCAAACGTCCTGGACATTCTTCAGGAGTCATTCTCTGTTGGTCTTGTGTGTGGGATCAGAAAGTCTATCTTCCTCTCTGCTCTGCTCATTCAATAAATGTTTTCATGCACTTGTATATCAGGCATTTAGCTCGGCTCTTTATTAGCTCTTTTTATCTGTAATATAGTTTAACTAGCCCTGTATATCTGGGATATAATTTGGCTCTTTACTAACCCTGTATATCTGTGACATAATTTGACTCTTTCCTAACCCTGTATATCTGGGATATTGTTCAGCTCTGTACTAACCCTGCTTGCCTGGGATATAATTTAGCTCTTTATCAGCCCTATATTTCTACAGTACAGTTCAATTATTTTGTAACATTGTATATGTATGATTACCTTACAAACAAACAAACTATTTTACTGCCAACATTTTTAACATAATGCCTAATGAGACTGCCCCTTACTTCCTTGAATTTCTGCAAAATAATTTCAGCACATTCACATATAATGGTCCAGGCACTCTGTCTTCATACAACTTTATTGGAACATATGAAACACTGCAATGTTTCGACTCACAAGCTTGACAAAGACTGCATTGGGAGTCGAAACGTTGCAGTGTTCCACATAAAGGTGCCTGAAGACATTTGAGTGCCTGGATCTTTTTTCTAATACTGGTATTTATGTTCTGGGCTTGTGCTGGCCCTTGGTTCAGCTAAGCACCCTGTCTTAAGTGTGCGGTTCATTTTCCATTTTTCTTAAGTCATATTATGGATCAGAATGACTTCAATTTCTATGTTATTGCCATCTAGAAGCCACAATGATTTATTTGTCAGATGAAGGTTCGAAAAAGTTATTGACTGAGGACAAAGAACAAAAAGAGTCTATCGACCAATCCCTGAATATGGAAGAAGTGGATCAGCATCCAATTAAAGGTAATGACTTACTGACTGGATCAAACTTTAAATAACCCTGGAGGAATTTAGCATCATGACAAGTTTGGTAAAATTTTGTAACCCCTATAAATGAATTTTTCCATTGTTATGACAGAACCTTCATCATCCACATGACAATCTTCTATAACCTGTTTTACGCTTTCCAACCCTATGTCAGCTATTGCATCATGTGGGATTTTTTTTGACGTATTATTTGACGTGCTTGTGGAGTTCCTTTAAGTAAGGATCTCCAAACAAAAGTTGGAGAGTTTAGCATCCATGCACAGCAGTACTACTTTCCTTTGCTCCATACAGAGAGATACATTTGCGTTGCCCAGTAGGCATATGGAGCGCAACGCCCATTCCCTGTTCATGGATGGGTCTTATGGTCTCTCCTGAGAGAGGGCCTCATCGTCCAATAAGATAATTTTTGCTAGGGGTCCTAGCACGTCTAACAGCTTGTCTTGGGTTAGCCTTAAACTGCGTTTAATGCCCTTACGAGGGTCACGGCCAGTCCTGGCCAAGTAAGTATAAAGCATCACATCAAACTCTGGGGTCATCGTGACCTTGTCCGGCAGGGCAGGTCTGGGGCATTCTGCTTTCAAGCGTCTACAGACCTCACGATCCACGGGTCTTCTGATCCAGAAGTGGATGTACTGGGTAAGATGGTCCAGTAGAGAGCACTCCGAGGATGTCGAAGTTGGTGTGGGTCAAACAGCAGTTGCCCTAACACACCCATGAAGACTTTAGCCTCCCCTGATGGTATTGGCAGGGAGGTCGGATCCTCCAATGTGGGCTCAGTCATTCTCTCTCAGGTGAAAGGCACTTCCCAAAAGGTAGCGTCTGGCCAGTCAGTCTCGTCGTCAGAGTCTGAATGGCCCGCTTGCCATTTGTCCAAGACTGAAAAAGGAGGCAGAGAAAATGAGTCCTCCTCTTCTTTTGACAAGGTAGGACGGACAGTGATTTCCTCCTTTGCATCTGTACGTCTTGGGCACTTGGCTGGCACTTTCCCTTTACAATAGAGGGGTTCTGGTCCGTCCCCTTTCCAGTACCGTTTGTGAGGCCTGGCTTGTTCAATCTTAGAGGAGTCAGAATCCTCTGAGTCCTCTGCTGAGTACAGGTGACAAGGCCTTCTAGGTATCAAACATTTATCAAAACATTTTTGTATAAACTTTTTCATGCATGCCATCGCGTCAGCCAATATCTGCGCGGATCGCGGTCTCCAGGCAAATGGCTGGCGTGATCTTGCGCAGGCGCACGAGGGCTACAGTGGCCACCTGTATCTTGCGGAAGTGAGTGTGAGATCCAAGATGGCCACCATGCAATAGAAGGGGGCCGCCAGAGGCGTTCTCAGGGAGGCAAGATGCCTGCCGCAATAGACATGTGCAATTCGTTTCGGTCCGAATGTGAATTCGGACGAATTTCAGGCAATTCGGATATTCGAGTACTTCCGAATGTCCGAATAGATGAATTGCTGAAGTCCCGAAGTTCTGAAATTACCGAAGTTCCTAAGTGTCGAAGTTGCCGAAGTTACGAAGTGTTGAAGTGCCGAAGTTCCGATGTACAGTATTGCCTAAGTACTAATATACTTACCCAGTGGAAGAATTAAGAATGTTACACTGTATACAATTTTAAATAAAAAGTATACAAACATAGCCAGGATTCAGTTGTAAGCATTAGCAACACATACAACAATCAAGTAACACACATTCATATAAAATGTAAGTTACTTAGCCTGTTAATGGAATGACAGGAATGAATAAGTAGATAACTCCCTAATTCCCACGGTATTAGAGAGCTATCTACTAAAATTTACTAATACTAAGTAAAGATTACTTAGTATTAGTAAATTATGCCCCTACTCGTTATACCGCGAGTAGGGGCATGTCTAGTAAACAGTGAGCAAAACAACAAACAAAAATGTCCCCCCCTCCCGAGCCCGCACCCATGTCGCACAAGTGGGGGCTTCTAACCTGAAAGGGGGACCTATTGCCCCCCCCAGCCCCAACCCCTGAACGGCGGGTGGGGGCCCTAAAGTAAAACGGGGGGGACACCTATTGTCCTCCCCCCGGCCCCCACCAATGAGCGATGGGTGGGGGCCCTAAATACTAATAAGGAGGGGGGACCTAAAGCCCTCCCCCTGGCCCCCACCCCTGAGCAGTGGGTGGGGGCCCTAAATAAAAATGTAATCCCTCAGGTGACTAGGGGTCCCCAAACCCCTAGTCACCCCCCTTGCTAATAAACTAACCACTACCTACCTCCCTCACCCTAAAACCATTAACTAAGTACCTGTAAAAAAATTTAAATAAACTTACAATTTAATGTTTTCTTTCTTCTAAAATCTTCTTTTTTCAGCCCCCAAAAATGCCAAATAAAAAATACATAATAATAAAAAAAACAAAAAAAAACAAGCGCAATAAAAAATAATCCTTCTTCACCCATGTGACAGTGGCACTCTGACCTGTGCTGGTGTGGAGCAGCAAAGAAAGAGGAAGTGACGACAGTGGGAGGGAGTTTTGTAGACAGTTACTTTTTTCTGATTGGTTTATCCTGTTACTATGTTAAAATGTGCTGCTGTGGAGCTTAAATAAAGAGAGACTTAAGCAAAATATTCGCCTCCTGTCATGTTATAAAATGTTATATTTCTCAGTATGAATCTTACCAGGGTGTGAGCTGATATCACTTCACTTAGAAGTCACATTTAACCAATTTATTTATAGACGATATAGTAAAATGATTGTATTGTGATTATACATTTGAATGCTTCTTTTTGTTTTCTTAATTTTATAAAAATGTTTTCTGTTGTTACTTTAGATGTGGAAACAATTCCTGAGGCTCCTGCACCTCCTGTAGAATTCAGCAAAGAAGACATTACTGATCAAACAATCGATAACGCTCAGGACTATCAGCAGCAGCTGCAGAGTAAGGATTCCCCAGTATAGAGAGAATCGCTTGTTATGAAATTTGTTAGCGTGCAGTTTGAATGACAAATCCTTCTTATTAATTTTTACATGTGCAAATTCTGACTTTTTCAAGTATTATTTACATTGACTGTATTAGCAGTGAGTCTTGCTTTGAATATTCTCACGTAATTATTATTTTATTATATTCATTTTATAATGTTTTATTGTTCAATTAGAGCTTATTTGCCTGGAAATTTAATCTATACCTCAACTAAATATTAAACAATTTCCTAGAGACCGGCTTCAATCTCTTTCCCCAAAACAGGGATTCCAAACCCTGGCCGCCATACATTGATTGCATACAACTCCCAGAATTCTCTGAATGCAATGGATGGCTAAATAGTCATAGGAGTAGTAATTCTGAAACATCTGGAGGACTGGAGTTTGAGATGCCTGCCCTAAACAGTATTGTTTTCATCCTTGTGGAGGTGTTTGGGAAACTTTAAGTCGTTAAGGATTTACTACAAAAGGTAGGTCCCCAGATGTTTTAGAACTACCGCTTCCATGATGCTTTGTCATTCTAAAGGTATGCAAACCATCATGGAGCTGGAGTTCAACAACATCTTGGGATCTACCTTTTAGCACCCCTGCTTTAATTCCTCTTCTATTTAGCTGATTTTATGTATTTCTGCTCGCACATTCTCAGGCGTTAGCTCAGTTAGTTGATATAGTGGGTCAGAATTACTTACATTTCTATGTATTTTCCATCTAGATGGGGCAGAGATTTCTTTGTCAGATGAAGGTTCGAAAGAGTTATTGGCTGAGGGCAAAGAAGTTATGGAGTCCATAGACCAATCTGTGAATGCAGAAGAAGGGGATCAGCACCCAGTTAAAGGTAATGACTGAATGACTGGATCACATGTCTTCTATGTGTCAACTATCAATAACTGTGGAGGAATTTAGAACCACGGCCAGAATGGTAATATTTTGTAACCTCTATAAATGAAGCCTTCATAGATGTTCTCCATTCTCGAGAGATGACCTTCACCACCCACTGGTCAATACTGTTTTATAGGCTTTCCCACACTATGTCAGATATTGAATTGCATTGGGAAAGCCAAGCAATACCAATAGAGTGTTCTGACAGCCAGGTCGCGACAGAATTCTCATAACGTTTTTTTTTTTTATCCAGACATGGATTTGGAGCTTTCTGTCCAGATTTAAGCCGTCTGGCTGTTTTTTGTTTAGCCTGAATGTGGACTGAATGGCCCACTCAGATCCACTCTGATCCTGTATTGCAAAGTCCAGACATTGTTAAATACTGTGAACAAATTTGAACGAATTTGAGTCTGAATGGAGCGCAATGGTATTGCCCCGTTGGGCCATTCAGACATTAGTGATTAACGATAACCATAATTATATTATGAAAATACATTTGAATGTTTTTGGTTTTTTTCGTATAATTTTCTAAAAATGTTTTCTTTTGCTACGTTAAATGTGGAAGCAATGCCTGAGGTACCAGCATCTGAAGAGTTTATCAAAGAAGATAATACTGATCAAACAATCGATAACGCTCAGGAGTATCAGCAGCAACTAAAAAGTAAGGATTCTCTTTCTATTCCCCGGTATAGAGAGAACTACTTGTGAAATTTGTTAGAGTGCAGTTTGAATGACCATTTCTTTCGATGGCTCTTTCGATGTGCCAAGTTTTTTTTTTTTTAAATTAATTCTGACTTTTACTAATATTAGCTACATAACCTCTATTTGTAGTGATTCTTGCTTTGAAGATTCTAATATTATTTTTATTATTTTTTTAATATTTATTTTCCTATATTTTATTGTTCAATGAGAGATTATGTTTTGGATATTTAATCTTTTCTATACCGCAATTAAATATTAAATAGTCTACTTGAGACTGGCTTAAATCCCTTTCTGCAAACCAGG